ATCAATTAAATCATCCTAGAGACCAAAATGACCCTTCCCTGCTTTACAGCCATTTCAGCCATTACCTTTGACCACATGTATTCCCCCAGCTCTCCACTATAAGACTGAGAGATGAAAACCACCATTTTGAGTTTTTGCTCCCATTTCCTGTGTGGGGAACAGGAAATGTTTCTCTCTCTTTCTTTCCACACCCCTCCACAGACCCCATTGTTCTCTCTCTAGAGACAACCCACTTTCAGTCTGTTGAAAGCATTAAACTTTACTATTTTATTGAATCTTTGCATTTTTCTTGAATTCTTCTCCTGCCCTGCTGCATGCAAGGACTGAGGTAATTTTCAGGGCCATTTTTTCCAGTAACTCCTACTTTGCAAATCCTCCTACCTCAACCTCCCAGGTATTTATTGGGATTACAGGTATGGACTATTATGTCCAGTTTATTCAAGTTATTTTAAAACTAAGATTAAGTCTTTCATGGGGCTGTTTTATGTCATTTAAAGATTTCATTTTGATGGGTTTTGAAAAAAAAATTGAAACTGGCAAATTTAGTGCGATATGAGAATTAAAAGAAAGAAAAATTTTGTTAATAAAAAGGTAAAGAACTTTTCATTTTTTATGGCAATTCTGTACCTTTTAGTGATGTTTTACCTGATTTTTTCAATTGCCCAGGATAGTCTCATACTCAATGTAGAAGAAGTACTTATTTTCATATTGTAGACAGTAAAGAGGCAAGTAGGATAAAGGATCACCTCCAGGAAAACAATGACTTGAAGTTGGTAAAACCTGTCTGACAGAATCCTCCCAGCATGCAGGTCTTTCTTAGAATGCTAGTGAAGAAACTAATTAGGTGTCTGTGATCACATTCTTAGATGCAAAGGACTTTTAGTTTATAAAGCAATAGCATTCATTAACATCACTTTTTCCCTCTTAAATTCCTTTCTTTTCCTTTTTTCTTTTCTGTAGTGCATTTGGTATAGTCTGCATTTGGGGGATAATTAGAAGATTGGCCATTTTCCACAGAGGAGGAGATGAAATTGGGTCACAGTAAATGTACCAAAACATGTCAATTAGAATTGGAAAGAGTATTTTATTGTTCTCATCTTTGTTTTTGTTTTTATTGTTGTCCTGGGTGTGGGTACATTGTAGCATTTACAAAGTCATCTTTGTTTTTGAATAATTATGTATATCATCTCACAACTAACTGTCCAGACAAGGTCTGATTGCCTCTGAATCTTTTTGTTGACTGAATGAGAGAAAGAAAGAGTAGGTGAGAGTCTACAAAAGCTTGTGTTAATTAACATATATCCCCTACTGGTAGAAAATCATGAGCAGACATTTTATAATCATTAGCTCATTACAATAGCAGTTTGTAGAAAATCCTCATTTTCTTTAATGAAATTGTTCTAAGAAGACCTGTGAAAGACTGAGCTCTGGATTGGATAACTGTGCCATTTTCTTAAGAAGTAATTTGGGCCTGCTGAGAAAGCAGATCATCCAGTTTGACATTTTGTTGCAGAAGAAGTAGTAATGATTCACAGTTTTTGTTTCTGAACAAAGCAGAAGTCAAATTATTTTAATCTTTTCTCTAGAATCAGATTGAATAGGATGCTAATTAAATCACTGATAGAAATCTGAGACACTAAAGAGGAACTAATAGATGAACCACAAATAATTTTGTATTTAGTTAAATTTTTCTAGTGATAGTTTTTTTTTTCATCTTTATTCTAATAAAGAAAAAAATCAACATATCTTCATGGGGTAAAACAATTTTACACATTTATGAATATAATGATGAAAATATAAATTTGAAAATGGACATAACTTTCAGTTTACTGTATATTTTTTCTGTTTCTGTATATGTGAACTGTTTCTAGTCATGATAGATATTCAAAGAGCTTGTATTCAGACCAGAGGTACAGCTCAAGTGGTAGAGCACCTGCTTTGCAAGCACTGAGTTCAAGCCCCAGTACCACCAAAAAAAAGACCCATTTTCATTATGTTCATTTAGTATTCTTTGCATTTATTATACTCATATTAAAGGATATTTCAAATGTAGAAGTATTACTTAAAAATCTCACAGTTGGGATGGGTTTATAAGTGATCTTTTTTATGTTGTATTTGTTCTGAGTGTATGCTTTTAATCATGTCAATATATCTAGAGGTTTTTCCTTAAGGTTTATAATCAAATGTCTTTGGAGATTATGTAAAATGAGGCAAACCTATTGCTGGGGAAATTATGCATTATATTATGGTTGTATGCATTAAGAATTCTGATTTTTGTTTGCTTTTAAACAGGTTGGAAAATAAATTCAGTAAATCTTAATTTATACTTTTAGTTCCCAAATTTATCATATCCTGTATAGCTATTTGACTAAATAGTTCTTTACTTAGTATCTTCAAGTTCTGGCTTGCTGCTGGGTTTTGATTTAATTCTTAACACCTATTTTAGGAAGGGGCTAAGTGGAAAAAAATGGAAAGGGATAAAAGACTGCAAATCACCCATTTAGTGGATGCTGTTAGGAAAAACACCGCTTGCAAAGAAAGCTCATGAGAAAAGTCTCACGTCCAAGAGCAAGGTTTAGTGACAGGCTCGAACCGCCAGGCTGGCCGGGGAAAGATGGCGCAGTGCTTGACTCTGGACCAGGTGTGGCTTTTATAGAAGAGGGAGCTTGAGGAAGTTAGCATGTGGATGGGAGTCTTCCTTAGGGGTGGAGCTGTCTTAGAGCAGGGATTTCTGTTAAGGGTGGAGCTGCCTGGGGGTGGCTCCATTTCCCAAGAAGTGAGGCCTGAGGATAAAATGGCCACTCCCCCCCATTCACAAAATGATGACATTATTACTCTATCAGATGCCATAAAAATTGGGAAGTAAATGACAAAGAGGGGTCATATATCATCAGAATTTACCAGTTATTTTATTGAAATGAATGTTTATTTTATCAATTAAAAGGGCAGTAACATCAATAACAATTTAATTTTAAAAATATGAATTTAAATTAATGTGTAAGTATAAAAATAGGAAAAAATATTGTGTTTTTTATCTCTAGGCTTTACAGTATAACCACATGAAACCACCTCTATTTTGTATCTTTCTACTACATCACCAAGTGTATTGTAAAAAACTGTCAAGGGTAGGGAAAACAAAAACCAGAATAGAAGCCAGTTAAATATATTTTAATAAACATGAAGACAAAATAATATTTCCCAAGTAATATTTTGTGATCACTCTGCTCACAAATGATTTGGCATCAAGTTTTTCAGTAGCTGGGAAATAGCAACTATCATCAAGTGTACATTTTTAGTATTTGGTGGAAATTGCTCATCATCAGTTAGTGTTGGATTTACTGCAGCTTGTGAGTTTTAGTTTTGCACTCTACCTCAGCTTAATTGTGTGACTGTCAAGTTAGAGTTTAGGTTTCCTTGCTTGTTCTGGTTGATGTAGGACCAGCTTGTCTCTCCTAAGAGTCATAATGATTTACCCTTCATAAACAGTTTTCTCTGTTCAGTGAAAATGGAAGTTGAAAAGTTCTGTCAACAAATATTTAACTAGCATCTTAATGTGTGTCAGGTAAAGTTCTGCATCCTCGTGGCAATACTACTAGAGGAAGAATGAGCAGTGGATAGACAAATGTGTATAACAAAAAAACATAACGTGATGAATTCTGTGAAAGCATAAGCTCAGGGTAGACTAGGAATATATAGCAGGGCCACTCATTACAAATTTGGCAGGAAGAGAAAGAACAATTTAGGGTATAGGGAAGCTGCCCCATAAGGATAACTGAAGAAAATAAATGTCTACTCTTTGAAATATGGGAACAGGATTAGAGTAGATAGATTGCTCTGTGCAATGTAGATAGCTATACAATATAAATATTCTCAAGGCAGCACTGAGAATTCTTCCACATCCACCTTTGTCCTTTCTTTGCTTTCCTTTTCCCCTTTCCCTCACTCTCTTATTCTCTCCTTCTCTCCTTCATTATGAACCGAATATGCTCTGAATTTTAGTAATCCAAATTCCTTAGTTTATGGCCTACTGTCATTATTTGATTCTTGAGGAGAATCATTCATTTTCATTAATGATGCTATAATTAATACATACAAAACAGTAGCAATTACCTATACCTACTGTTTTGTTTCTCTATTTCGTCCCTCTACCCCTCCTGAAAGGTAACGACTATCCTGAATTATATGTTTCATTCTTGTTTTCATTAGTTTACTTTGTTTCACATGTCATATAGTAAATAATATATTACTTAGTACTTTTAACTCAAAATATTTTTGAGTTTTTTCCACCCAACGTCATATTTGTAACTGAAACATTCAGTTTGACTTTAGTTAGTATTTAATTGTATGAATATAGCACAAATGGTCTACTCTCACATCAGTTGGGAATTTGAGTTGTTTCCATTTATGTTGTTATGAACAATACTGTTATCATTGTCTTTTTACTTCTGTCTTAGACCTGTGAAATTTGTTACAGATTATATGCTTGGAATTAGAAATACTGGGCCATAGTTTGTGTGAAGTTCAACCTAAAAGATAATACTACATTATTTTCAAAGCTATTGTGCCAATTCTCATTCCTATCAACAATGTATAAGAACTTATTTGATCCACACCTCTCTAACCCTTGATCTTAGAAGACTGATTTCTGACAAGTGAATACTATGTAATATAAAAGTTATTTAATTGTGTACAGTTTTAATCATTATCAAGGTTAGTATTGTGACCGTGCATCTTTTGGTATGTTTATTAGTCACACATGTTTTCCCTAACTTTGAAGTATAAGATTTTTTAGTCCATATTAAAGAATGCTTGCTGTTTTTATATTTGCAAGGGTATACAATTTAATCATATACATGTAGCCATTGAGGAAAAATGGACATATATTTTGTAGTATATAAATGGTGGGTAAATTTATAAGAAAGGATATATTGTCAGTTCTATTTTGAAATTGTTTTCATGACTTTTTTTTCACAACTTGGTATTTATTTTTCTTTTGACAGAACGATTCCGAGATTTACTACTTCCTCCATCAGATCAAGGCTCTGAAATTCTGCCCTTCATTCAATCTAGAAATTACCCCAAGTAAGCAACACAAGTTGGCTGGGTATTGAGAAGGGAAGGGGCCATAGTACTGAAAGGGATTTGAGCAGGCAAAGACAAAAATGAAGTCTTTTTTGGAATTTTTACTAACTGAGCCAACAAGGGCATCTCCTGCAATGTAAGATCTTGGGCTTTTCACAGATGGTTCAGAGGAGGAAGACTTACTTCTGAGTGCAACCCAGCTGTGACTGCAGAGTTACTGCCAGGTGCCAACAATAACCTGTTGCCTAAGTGTCTTATGCTTCACTTTTGCTTGATCCTGCAGCAACAGAAACAGATATTTTGTGGTGATCCTCCTGGTTTCCTGTTTTCTATCCTTTAAATGAAAAGCGTCATTCATATTGTAACAATTGGCTATCGAAATAATCACATGCTGGATATGATTTTAACAATTTCTATTTATTCCTCTTTACCATTGATAACTGTGGGAAGTGAAACCTTCTGTTGGAAATGTAGGCCCCAAAAGTGACCACGTGGAGAGGAGTGATCTGGCCAAGAGATTCTTTATTGCCGGGTAGGAGAGGGAGAGAGCTGAGAGCCAAGAGAGAGAACCAGGAAGGGCAAGGGCTTAAATACCCTTCAGTGGGACTCAGCATGATCTGATTGGTTAGGATCTTATGGTTCATGCTGATTGGAGGTTGGGGCAGAAGGAGGGTTCAAGCTGGACTTGAGGCAGGACCGTGACCCTGGAAAACAAAAGCTTAAGGGTGCAGGAAGAACTGAAACCTATCAGTGCCATTATTGCCAACATTCCTCCCTTTTTTGTTTGTTAAGGAAGGGGGCGTTGTGCTTGCTCTGGCTTCTTCGAGCTGGCAAGGGGCAGCGTAGGGGAAGGGAGGGTCAGTTGGCAGACAATGTTGGGGTGCTGAGCCTCACGATGGCATACACCCAGGCTCCAAAAATGAAGATTTCCTCCTCCCTGAAGTTGATGAAGGTCCCTTGTAGCCATAGGTCATAAAGTCTCAAGCCAATCCTCCGACCTCTGCATGGTGGGTATCAGCCAACTATCCTGGCGTTTTGGAGACGTTGGTATCCCTGGAGGTGCAACTGGTTAAACTTTTGATTAGCAATAGCAGACATGTAGTATGATACAGGGGAGGAAGCTTAAGAATAGGAGAGCAAGAACATAGGCATCAGGATGGGCATTGCCAGGAGAACCACTGTGAAATGTTGTTCCCTAGACAATTTCAAGAGTCCTCCAATTCCCTTCTCCATTTTCTAATTGTTTCTGGAGAGGTGCCGCCATTGGGGAACCCATTGAGCTTGACAGCAGTGGGTGTCATGAGAATGACCAGATGAGGGCAGGTCCATCGAAGTCCCAATGGAGAGGGTAGAAGATCCTTTTGGAGAACAAGATGCCCTGGTTTAACAGAAATTGTTATAGAGTGGGGCAGGATCTGGTTTGCATGCTCTCTGAGAAGTTCCCTGAGAAGGCAGGTAGTCAGCCAGAGGAGCAGAGTCTGTTGGAGGCAAGTTTTTCTAAGAGAAATGGGTGGCCATACATTATCTAAGACCCAAAGAGGAATATTAGGAGGAGCATAAAAAGGTGTCTGTTCAGGGACTGCATACCTAGGGATCTAAATTCTGCAAAATCCTGTAACTGCCAGGAAAGCTGTAAGCTGTCTTATGGTATGGGGGTTGGGAAATGGAAGATTGGGTTGATGCATTTAAGACTCAGGGAGTGAGTCTGTCCCTTTAAGGCCACACCTAGGTAGGTGACCTGTGGGAGGCAGGGGCTGTCAGGATTTAAATGTAATACTCTTGGATAAAAGAGAGCTTTAGCTCATTATTTTATATAAATTGACAGTTTTAACCTTTTAAATGTTTGTACCATATTCAGATAACACTGTTACAAGGTGGTCATTTAAGACACATAAGCAAATATATAAATGAACTCTGATTTAGTAGTACTTAAAGCTTGACAAGATCAGCAGAAAACACAAATAATTTCTTTGATAAAATCTTTCTCTGTAATGGTTTTTTGTAGATGTTACTCAGAGCAGAACAATATTAAGATAACCTTGTTATTTCATAGACATAGAGGATTTGATTTTAGTTTGACATGACCCTAAAACTCTTTTAGCCAACTCTTAGATTATATTCAACTTTAACTTTATCACACATCAAAGTTTTTTATTATGCACTTTTAAAACTTACTTAGACCTTTGTACAACATACTAAACCCTTTGATGGTTTGTCCTTATCTTTCCTATTTGAAACAATCTTTAGGACAGACCCTTCTTTACAAAATCCCTTCTCATCCAAAAACCCATTCCTTTTTTCTTTAACTTCTCAAAATATACATTTATTACCTATCTATATCCTTTCCAGTTGTTTACTTTGTAACTTGTATTTTAAAATTAACTTTTTTAAGAGTTTTAGATTTATTTTAGGGGCTGGAGCAACTGATTAGTAGCCCTTGTTGTTTTAAGGAATTTATGATAGGCATAAGGCCTTATCATCCCTCAGGCTTGAGGGGATATTGTTTTTGGTGTGAAAACTGTGAGGGATTTTTGAGTTTTATTTGAATAGGGAGGGCTGTCCTGGCTCACACTACACTCAACTCATCAGTCCACACTGTGGAATCTCTTTGTTCCTGAAGGAGGGGGCAGCAGAGATAGCTGCCTGGGGGGAGGAGAATTTGAACTTTAATTGAGATAGTAAATCCTGTCCCAGCAGGGACACTGGAGTTTCAGGTACTATGGGGAAAGAGTGACAGAAGAGGAGTTCTCCCCAAGAGCAGGCCAGAGGCCAGGTAAACTAGCGCTCTAGGGGCTAGCCAGATTTGCCCTGAATGATAACTTTTGTTATTGGACCGGGGACCAGGAGAAAAAGGTAAAGCAGAGAAACAGACTCCACTGTCTAGGAGAAAAATGACCTTTTGTTTTTCTGCCATTATGGCTCCTTAACATTGATGCCAAGAAATGGTGTGTGGCCAGTAGGCTTGGACCCATTAATCTATAGGAGGTGGCACCTCGCCTTCCATCTGCAGGTGGGGGCACTTAGACCTCCAGTGGTTGCCCTTGCAGAGGGCAGGGTCCCAGTTGGGGGCGGGGCTGTCTCCTGGGCTGTTCCCCTTTAAGCATTCTCTGCAGAAGTGCCCCTCCTGTCCACCATGGTAGCAAGTTCAGGATACAGGCCCCAGTCAGGTGGGGCCCTCTCTAGAGCAGCAATGAGGCTATGGTGTCTCTTATCTTTTTCTCTCCTGTTAGTAAGGTCCCGGACATACAGACGTAGCCATAAATACAGACATTGCTAGCTGTATTACTTGGTTCAGTGACTTTTCCCTTCAGCCACAGTCTGAGTTTTTTAACAAATATCTGGGACTGACTGTTAGAAATTTATCTTGAGGAGAACCTCTCTCACCTGTGACTCTGTGTCCATGGTATGCTTTGTGATAGCGTCCTTAAGATGCTGTAGAAAGTTAAGAGGATTTTTTTTTAAGTTGTTGCTGTAAAGTAAAGTTGTTATTTTACATTGACACCTGACACTCTGGAGAGCAAGTCTCTGAACTGTTCTGGGTCTCAGTTTCCTCACTTGAAGAATGAGGGATCTGGTCTAGGTTAAACTATGTTTTTCCACTATGAGATGGCTGAAGTGACATTAATGCCACTTCTTTACCATTTTTTTTTTTTTTAAGTAATGCTGGGGAATTGAACCCAGGGCTTTGCTCATGCTGGGCAGACATTCTCCCATTGAGCTACTTCCTCAGCTCCAAATATTATTATTATTTTTTTTTACTTTGGCTGTACTGGGCTTGAACTCAGGACTTTATGCTTGTAAAGCAGCACTCTACTGCTTGAGTCATATAATCATTTCCAACCTGAGTGGCCTGGGCCCGAACCCATTGCTTTTCTAATGAGAGAAATTTGTATAGGGGACCTCAGTTTACTTTTTTTTTTTTTTACTTTTATAGAAAAGGTCTAATTGGAGTATGGTATTGTAATTTAAGGAACCCTGTGAAGGCCACTTCTCTTGGTCACCCAAGGCATGTTGAGGCCAGGCCTCAGTACAAAGCTTCCAACATCTACCAGCCAAAGACTGGAAGATGCAGATCCCATCTAGAAAGAACAAAACGTTAGGATCCTGTCTTTTAGCTAACAGCAGGCAGCCTCTTTAATAAAGCCTACCTTTTTTTACAAAGAAATCATTTGTAAAGTTAGAGAAGGGCATTCAGAGGGCATTTCAGGGGAAAAATTTATGCTGAGGCCAAAGGTATAGAAAATTCTAAATGAGTAATTTAGAGACCACAGTAATGTCTATTTAGTTATTTCTGGAACTATAACCTTGAGCTAACAATTGACTTACAAGGGTCTGATGCCCTGAGGTGTGAGGTGGGGCTAGGAGCAGGACTTGTGCAAGGCCACTCCCTCCACACACACCTGGGACAAATGACCCTGACTGCCTAGGCCTGACCCTGCGGCCTGTCGCCCCTCCCCCCTTCCTGTGTACTCTGCACGCGTTTATTCTAGGGGAAGTGGTGGCGGGCTGCAGCCATCGCCATGTGTGGCTGGCGGCCCAGGATTTGTTGGGTCCTCTCTATGGATTTTCCTAGCTATGGCAGGTATTTTTGCTGTGTCCAGGAGCCGGCATTCTGTGCACAGGTGCGCCTGTTTGCTTTCCTTCCTCCCTTTGTGGGGGCGGAGTTAGAGCGTGAGCATGGCAGCTGCAGGTTTTTGTAAGCGCTTTTGTAAAGCGGCTGACTTAAAGTTACTTTAGACTAAGAGGCCTGGCAAACTAGTTGGAATAGCTTAAGTCATAAGGTACTGTGCTACAGGTTTTTCATGGGAGGCAGGGTCCCAGTAAGCCCAGGGAGGGGAAGGCAGACAGAGACAAAGGACATGTGGTGAGACCATGGAGGAGGCAGAAAGGTGAGCTGACATCTTAGGTAAGGGAGGGGAAGGCAGAGCCTGGAGGCATGACACGTGCTTAAGGGATTAGCCATCACCTGTGTCTCCAGGTTGCTCCCATTGATTGGTACT